AAGCATTACACATAATTTGTCTCATTGAAAAGGACAAAGGATTTAAAACCAAACAAATAAATAACTAAGCTAAATCATTCGATTTTTAAGTTCTATAAGAAATAGGAAAAGACAGAGAGCATTTTATTTTACCAATAACACATTGTGTTCCATGCAATGCATAATAAACATATATATATATATATATATATATATATATATATATATATATATAATCTTGACTCTCTATCGATGAACTACACTAATACATCATAGACAATCTCTTGGTTTCGTGACAGTAGAACTAAATTAGTAAAGACCTTTATCGTATTTAGTCTGATTTGAAGAACTTTTTATATCAAACAAATATTTCAATTTTTGCACTAAAGTGAAAAAGCAAATTAATCATTAAGTATATCAATTGTTCTTCTATGCAGAACTTTTCCAATACTGTTTTGTGGTTGGTCATTGAGTCTAATGGTGTGTACCAACTACCAACCTATTCTTTTATTTGGTAAGTGACCGGGGATTTATTGAAACATTAAATAAAACAATTACACCGGAACTCGTCTTGGTCGCATAGACCAAAGTGCACCCTCCCTTACAATTGTAGCAAACTCAAAAGGAACAACAGGTAAAGCATAAAAATCTAACGGTAATGTAAACGCATAGTTCGCCAACCCATCAGCAAGACGGACTACCAACCTGTTCTTAATTCTTCTTTTCATTTTTTTAAAGTCAGATTAATGTTTAGCTCATAACAATTATTTTATATACTTAAGTACCAAAATTGTTTGTTTTTTTCATTTTTTTTTTGTTAATGCTAAAAAAAAATGATGTTATTGTTTTGTATGGAATATGGAGTCCAAAGGAGGCAAAAGTATCCCCACACACGAACATTACATTAATGTAGGCATATATATTTCGTCTGTTTCAACTAGCATGTCTGATATTGTAATATTTATTTATTACTATAGTCATATAGTAATCATAAAATAAAAGTTATGAGTCATTATTAATATATGTACAATTGTATATAGTAAATTAGTGAAAAGTTTTGAATTATTATCTCCCTGCAAGCAGCCAGCTATATACACAAAGATATATAGTTTTTGTTATCCAAATGTGGACATCAATTTTTTTGTTCTCATCATTTGTTGGACTTTGGAGAAGAGCAAAGGAGAAATGGTATTTCAATCCTTAAAAATTCCGCAATAGCAAGAGTTGACTAGTTAATGCGTTTCTTTCGGGGGACGATAAAAGAAGACAAACATTGTGTTTTCCTGTGTCATTTTTTTTTGTCTTGTTTTCAGAATAAAATAAATGTCAAATAGTATATGCTATGTTAATATTCCCACTCAATGGTCCTTTTATGTTATTTGACTTATTTCTAGTCTTCTTTTTGTTCTGTGTTATTTGACTTGAAACCTTAGCCTTATATCTTTTCATTTATTAGAATAAGATTAGAGGAAATTGAATACTCCCTCCGTATTTTAATAAGTGTCGTTTTAGAATTTTTACTTTTTTGAATTAGATGTCGTTTTCAAATTTCTATGCAAGATTTTTTACTTTTTAATGTTTTATGAAGAAAATCCTAAAACGACACTTATTAAAATACGGAGGGAGTAATTGATACACACATTATTATTGTATTAGCAGCTCATGAAGAACCACCACTTTGCTTCTGGGTATTTAAAGTCAATGCCTTTTTCTTCAACAGTGTGTCTTTGTAGTAGTAGTAAATGAAATGAGAGATTGGTGGTGGTGAAAGGGGTCACCTTTGCTTTTATATATTCAAAGACACTTCCTTTAAAGGTCCATTGTTGAAAAACTTCTCCACAAATTTTCTTGCTTTCTCTTTTATTAAATTGATTGCTCATAAGAGAGTGGTTTCTGAATTTCTATGCAAAATTTTGGGATCTGTTTTTTTTCTTGTGCTTTATAATTAATTAATTTATTTCCCTCTCTTCCTTCGACTATAGACTGGTCCTAGGGTTTGAGCTCCTTTTGACTCTTCTTGGATTCCTTCTTCCTTGTGTGTTTGTCTTTCTCGTACTTTTGTTCGTTGAAATTGTTCCCCTTTTACTTTCTTCTCCTTCTTCCGTCAATTTCGTTTCTCCACTCTTTCCCTAAACCGCTAATCTTTCTTGTTTTCTCTCAAAGTTTCCATTTTTGAGCTCTCTCTTCTTTGATCTGCTTCAAGTTCTTCTCTTTTTCTCCGTAATTCGTACCTTCTAGGGTTTTATAATGACCCTTTTCGCCGAAATCTCCTAAATCTTTGGTTTCTGAAATGCATTTCTCTCTGTGGAAGCAAATTCATCACTGTGCTTCTCTGATCTTAGACAAGAGTAAGAGCAGAGGAGGAAGAAGAAGGGATGGCTCTGATTCGTCTCTCAATGTCAAGAAAAAAGCTGCATTGATTCGGAAACTCTATGAAGATAAGCTCAGGGAAGCTTTAGAAGAAGCTTCTGAATATGGGTCACTCTTCAAATCCCAAGACATTGACCAAGATAATGGTGATGGAAGCTTGGGTCGTTCCAGATCCTTAGCTAGACTTCACGCGCAGCGTGAGTTTCTACGCGCCACTGCTTTAGCAGCTGAACGTATTATCGAATCAGAAGACTCTATTCCTGAGCTCCGTGAAGCTTTGACTAAGTTCCTTCGAATGTATCCAAAGTACCAAGCTTCTGAGAAGATTGATCAGTTAAGATCTAATGAGTATAGTCACTTATCATCATCAGCTTCAAAGGTATGTCTTGATTACTGTGGATTTGGTCTCTTCTCTTATGTTCAGACTCTGCACTATTGGGATACTTGTACCTTTAGTCTCTCTGAGATTACTGCCAATTTGAGTAACCACGCGCTTTACGGTGGAGCTGAGAGTGGAACTGTGGAACATGATATCAAAACTAGGATCATGGACTATTTGAACATCCCTGAGAATGAGTATGGTCTTGTTTTCACTGTGAGTAGAGGCTCTGCTTTCAGATTGTTAGCGGAATCTTATCCTTTTCAGTCTAATAAGCGGCTTTTGACAATGTTCGATCACGAGAGCCAGTCTGTGAATTGGATGGCGCAGACAGCAAGGGAGAAAGGCGCAAAGGCTTATAACGCTTGGTTTAAATGGCCAACTTTGAAGCTTTGTTCGACTGATTTAAAGAAACGGTTGTCTTATAAGAAGAGGAAGAAGAAGGATTCCGCGGTTGGGCTGTTTGTGTTTCCTGCTCAGTCTCGTGTTACGGGTACTAAGTATTCTTATCAGTGGATGGCTTTAGCTCAGCAGAACCATTGGCATGTGTTGCTTGATGCTGGTTCTTTAGGTCCCAAAGATATGGATTCGCTCGGTTTGTCATTGTTCCGGCCTGAGTTTATCATTACCTCGTTCTACCGTGTATTTGGGCATGACCCGACGGGATTTGGTTGCCTGTTGATTAAAAAATCAGTTATGGGAAGCCTTCAGAGTCAATCTGGGAAAACAGGATCAGGTATAGTGAAGATCACGCCTCAATATCCGTTATACCTCAGTGATTCAGTAGATGGTCTTGACGGATTGGTTGGTTTTGAAGATCACAATGAAGATAAAGCCAAAGAAGCTCATCGTCCAGGAACTCAGATGCCAGCTTTCTCAGGTGCATATACTTCAGCACAAGTGAGGGATGTGTTTGAAACAGAGCTCCTAGAAGATAACATATCTTCTGATAGAGATGGAACTACTAGCACCACAATTTTTGAAGAAACGGAAAGTGTTTCGGTTGGAGAATTGATGAAAAGCCCGGTTTTTAGCGAAGATGAGTCATCGGACAATTCGTTTTGGATTGATTTGGGTCAAAGTCCTCTTGGTTCTGATCAGCATAATAAGATTGCATCTCCGCTGCCACCTATTTGGTTGACCAACAAGAGAAACCAGAAACAACGACAGTCGCCTAAACTAATACCGAAGAGTTACAGCAGTCCATTGTATGATGGTAGTGACGTCCTCTCATTTGATGCTGCCGTTATGTCAGTTACAGAGCACGGGACAAACTCAACTCCATCGCGGAATAGGAGGAGCTCTAGTAACCATCTCCATGTTCAAGAGATACAGGAAGAGAACTGCGGTCATAGCTTGGCAAATGGCTTGAAATCATCCAACATTTCATCAGAAATCAAAGACAGTGCTATTAGACGAGAAACAGAAGGAGAATTCAGGTTATTGGGAGGAAGAGATGGCGGTAGAAGCAGGCTATTGGGTGTGGAGGATGAACATCCGAGCAAAGGAAGACGGGTGTCGTTTAACATGGAACGTGTTAGTCATAGCATAGTAGAGCCCGGTGAAGCTTCTCTAGCTAGCATTTATGATGAAGATTACAATAACACGAGTGATGTTGAAAATGGAGATGATGAGGGTGCAGATGATGAATGGGAAAGGAAAGATACCGAAACCGAGATTGTTTGCAGACATATTGATCATGTGAATATGTTAGGTCTTAATAGAACCACAACGAGACTCAGGTTTCTGATTAACTGGCTTGTGATATCGTTACTGCAACTACAAGTGCCTGAATCAGGAGGCAGAAACATGAATCTTGTGCAGATTTATGGGCCGAAGATCAAATACGAAAGAGGAGCAGCGGTTGCATTCAATGTGAGAGATAAAAGCAAAGGCTTTGTTAGTCCGGAAATTGTTCAGAGACTCGGTGAAAGAGAAGGTATATCTCTCGGCATTGGTATATTGAGTCACATACGCATAGTGGATGATAAACCAAGAAACCATAGAGCCCGGACTAAAGAAGATAGTGCTTTGCACTTGCAGAATGAAGCCGGGAAAAACGGGTTTATAAGATTTGAGGTTGTTACAGCTTCTCTTAGCTTCTTGACAAACTTTGAAGATGTTTACAAGCTTTGGGCATTCGTCGCCAAGTTCCTAACCCCTGGTTTCAGCAGAGAAGGTTCGCTTCCTACTGTCGAAGAAGAAGAAGCAGAGGATTCAGAGACGTGAGTTTGTAGTAAAAAAGCACAAAGCCGTAACTTTTAGAGGGTGACTGGGAGAGGCTGACATAACCGAAGATGCATCATCAAGAATCAATGTGGTTGACCCGCCTGAACCGTTAGACGGTTTGGCTCGGTCCCCCGGAGATGGAAAGAGGGTAAAGAACTGTGAATTGAGAGATTTTGTTATGGCTTTTAATCTAAAAGCAGAACTTATTGATCTAAAGATTCACACCTTTTGGTTAATTCTGCTTTTGTTTGTGTTTTTTGTTGTTGTTGTGAGAATACAGTTTCTGAAATTGTCAGAAACTTGTAGCATTTGTTCTTAGTTCCTACAAAACTGATTCAGATCAATATATACACTTAGATTCTATATATAGTCATAGTAAGAGGAAATAAACTCAGATTCTTCCTAAACATTCCCCTATAGTTTCTTAGTGTTATTGAACTTCACGTTGATGTATTTTATAAAGAGTTTAATGAAGCTGATTGTGTTGAGAGCGTTTGAACAATATTAGTAATAAATAATCTGATACATGTAGGTAGCAGTAGAAGTAGCCAAAAAGGCCAACTCAAACAAAAATGTTATGGAATTGAGCCCACATGAATTTTACATCTTAAGTTTCACTTTCTCTGTCGTTGCTTCTTGGCTAAAGCAGCACCGGTGGCAAGTCGAAGAGCTTGGCCAGAGTTCTTGATGACTGAAGACGATCTCGGGACTTGCGCTCTCCTCATCTTCAAGAAATCTAACCCGGTTTTCAAGCATTCCGGTGGTGGAATGTCCTTGTAAATAACTGTTTCGATCCTGCACAAGACCAGAGAGACTTCATCAGAGAAAATCAAAGAGGGATCCTAAAATATGTAAGCAGAGAATAGATGAGATCATACCCTGAGCTTTTTTGCTTTTTCTTTCTCGGAAGTTCGTCTATGATCTCATCTTCTTCAGAATCTGACTCGGCATTTTGCCTGTGAAATGAAAGATATATAGCCAATCTTAGACATTCTTTCTATCTAGCTTTAAAGTGTTTATGTATCAAGAAATACAAGGATAATAAGTTTTAATACTTTTCTCGCTCTGCAAGAAAGTCTATGATGTCTTTGGAAAGGAATCCCTTCTTTGCAAGAGCTTCAGAGTTTTCCTCAGGTTCTTCTTCTTCTTCTTTATCTATATCCTCGAATTTTTCAATCTTTCGAGATTTCCGGGGCGTTATTTTCTCTGCCATAAGCTTGCGCCTCTCTTTCTTTTCACGGGAAATCCTACATAAGAGAAAGCAATCCCATATTAAAAATCCACACATTCCTAACTTAGACCTTCTAAGGAAGCTTAGTAGAGATCAACAAGTTCACAAACAAAGCTTAGGATCAAAGAATAGAACATAATGGCTTCGGACTGTGAACAGATATTGCTTTGCAGATTTAAGGTTAATGACATATAGCTAACAACCATTGGATAGTTTTGCTAAGCTCAAAGTAATCAGATATACAAAGAAGTAACAATCAAAGGAAGAATAGTTTATCTTCTTCCATAAACTCCTAATTCACAAAGCACTTATTTTTTGCTTTCTTAAAACTTTTTCAAGTCCTCAAACAAAGACAGTCAAAGCAAATCACTAATGAACTAAACCATAATTAGAGCAGAGCTAGAGAGGGAGATGCAATGAGTGTGAGTGAAGACAAACCTAGTCTTATTCTCTCTCTGTATTTTCCTCAATGCTTCATCTTCCAGCTTCGCCTGAAACAAAGTCAACAAAACAAAACCCTAAGCAAAATGCGATTTCGATTGAATGTTTCAACAAACAGGACGAATATAATTACCTGCTCTTGGGTGAATTCTTCCGGAGCATCTGAATCGGAATCGTGGTCTTTATTATCCGACATCTAATCAGATGATCTTCGCCGCCGGTCTAGGGTTTTCTTCTCCGTCCTAGGGTTTAACGGCTCTGCAAAATTCCCAAATTCACCACCACGATTATAATAGACTACAGAGAGTTGGTTTGTTCCCTGTTACACAATTAATGGGCTTATTTTGGGCTCTCGTTGGCATTTTATTCTAAGCCCATTGACTACAATACCATTAACCATAAGGTCTTTTTTTTTCTGAGGAAATATTTTCAATTTATTTTTTAATACAAGAACAAATTATAAAACTACTAAAGCCGACCAAAATAAATATGGTACGAGACAAGAATGCCGACCATAAAAATAGTAAGAGACAAGAAAAAACAAATAAGACAAAACTCTCTACTCAACAAATATAATAAGTAGCATTACAAATAAAAATCAATTGAATGAATTTTACATCACTTTTATAGTTTCTTATAGTGAAAAAAGAACACAACCATATCTATATATTTAAACTCATGCGCTCTACTTTACCTTTTCCCCAATCCAAATCTATACAATGTTTTCACTTCTTTTTTTATTCATTGATGCAAAAGCAACCTGAAACTGAAGTCATATGGTACTACTTGAACCAATTCCATTAGTGATTCTTTGTTCTTTCTCTCCATACACTTATTTGCTTCTTCTCTTAGTTTATCAGGTAACTGAAGGCAAACCCAATCGAGCAACGATTCCAAATCCTTGGCAAAGTCGAGTAAATACCAATCTAATACCTTTGGAAGCATTAGTTTGTTCTTCTTTGAGATCCCTACTGATGCTTGAAGATAATCTCTCTTTGCAGCTTCTAGCTCTTCCTCTACATTAGCTGATGTGTAGACCCTTACCTGAAGTTTCACAATATAGAAGATACCAACGTTAGTTTTCGGGTATTTTGGCTACGTATAATCCATTTTCATGGAAGTTTGTGCAAGTTTTACTTGAAAGTTTGCATCTTTGCCACATTTTGTGTATATATGATTTTGAGCTCAACTTACAGCAGGAGAGGACCAGCTTCCACAGGCGAGAGCGAATGTGACCAAAGGCTCTGACCATTCCAATCCAAATGTGCTATGAGCTCTCATCTCTTCATGTGTTGCAGTTTTGGGACAAGTCTTTTCCAAAAGAAGAAGCAGAGAACAAAATTTAAGAACCATAACTTTACGCAATGCTATACAGTTTAAGAAAAGAAGGAAAAAAAGGAAAGGCACTTACGAATTTCAAGTGGTATGGAAGTCTCAAGATGAAATGTTCGATTGTGATTGCATTTAGCGAGTGTCCTCCTACGATTATTGTTGCCTGAAACAACAAAGAGAAGATGAATATAGTAAGCCGGTAAACACGTTAAAGCAAAAATATTGTCAAATCATGGTTTGTATCTAAACCTTCTGCATCAGGGCTACAACCATTTCAGGGGTCCCCGGGATTCCGTGCTCCAAGAATGCCTATGAAGGTAAATTGGAAACAAGACATCAGCTTTATTAACATTTTTACAGACATTTCTCCACCTTTAACATACAAAGAAATCATAGAATTCTCACATTCATCACGCAGGAATTATAAGTATTTATCCAGAATGCAAGCTTCTGCTGGTGGCTAAGACCGTCTAAATTGACAACCGAAAGCTTATTAAGCAGAAACCTGGAAATATAAAAAGTTACAGAAAACATGAGTCTAGAGTATTCAATCATTCTAAAAGAGTTCATACCATTTGTTTAAATGAGAAACCTACTTGAGACGATGGATCAGAAATGAAGCATTGATTCTTCGTCCAAGATCAGCTGAAGATGCATCAACCGAGGAAAGATGCTTGTATGCACCAAGCTCTCTGGTTCTCCATTCTGAACAGTTATTATATGGATCCAACACAATGTCCTTCGACGAGCTAATCCTCAAGATAATAGTCACAAGACATTTCAGTAAATCCTCTGAAACTCTGTTTGCTACATTTCCACTTTGCACTGTCTTGTCTTCTGAAGATGATCCTGACACACTCTCTTGTGCTTTGTCCTGATCTGTGAATCTATCATCTAGCTGAACAACCGAAAAACAAAAAGGCTCAAAAAAAATCTACAGATTCATGAGCGTAAATGTTGTACATACCTGCAATTTGATTGATTCTGAGTGTTTATCCGCTGCTGCCTCCGGCTTAATCAAAGGTTTCTTCTTCTTCACAGATGTCAAGAATCTGCCAAGCTTCTTCTCAGGTGATTCTTTATTTTTCTTGTCTTTTGAAGCATTAATAGAGGTCTGATTCTCTTTCCCCCTCACATCTACTGGCTTAGTAACACTGCTTAGATTTGGTTTAGGCGACGTTTGTTTGCCATTTACCACTCTCTGACCACTTCGGTCATTAACTGTTTGATCAGAGGAGAAGAGTTTCCTACTTGAGATGCTTCTGCTAAGAGACTGTTGATGCTTTTTAGGAGGAGTGATCATAGAATTGAACTCGTGTTGCGACATGGATTTTGATCTCTGGTGTTTAGTGCTTCTAACGGGTGAATTCTCATTCAAACTGTTGTTATTAGGACTCTCCATATTCCTCTTGGAAGATATGTAAACAGCTTCTTGGTATAAACCTTGTCTAAAGCTAACAACCTGCTCTTCTAACCGAACCACTTCCTCTTCAAGAACAGCTACTTCAGCAAGAAGCTCCAATGTCTTATTAAAATCCCAAAAAAAAAAAAAAAGAATTAAACACAAAGAACAACAAGTTTGAGAGATTGAATGCAAAAAGATCCAGCACTGGGGTCTTACATGTCGAGGGAGATAAGACGGAAGACGAGGTAAAGCTCCTAAAGGTCTAGTGAAAGCTCTCTCCAATGCTCTATGCACATTCTCCTCTTGTCTAAGCTTCCTCTTAAGCTTATCAACCTAGTACAAACAACAACATATTTTAGACTCAACTCATCACCAAATCATCAAATCATTAACTCAAAGAAAGTGTCATCATACATCTTGTAGCAAATCCATTTTCTTTTCTTTGTTAGCTCGGCGACGATTAACCAGAGATTTTCCTGAAGTAGCAACAGCTCCATTGCCTTGAGACTCCATCTTCTTCTTCTCCTCCTTTGCAGATTTCAGAATACCACGAAACATCATTACTCATATAGACCAAAACAGAATGAAGGAAACAGAATTGGAGCTACTAAAGACACTATTGTTATGAGCCTTTGATAGTGGGAAACAACACACACTTCCAGAATAAGGATAAGAATTGAGTATCGATCACTTTCACTGTGACCATCATCACTACGAAATAACTATTTTTCAGAAAACAAAAACAAAAAAAAAAAAAAAAAAAAAAAAAAAAAAAAAGGCAAAGATTCGGTTGGTAAATAGTCCAATGTTGAAGGCAAGAATCTAAAGAAATATCTGAAATCAGATGTTATCAATGTAAAAGGAACAAACTTTTATGAGAGACTAAGCATAATCCACCAAGAGAAAAGCAATCAAAATTGAGTTAATAAAAGTGGAAAAAGTGATACAGAGAGACAAAAAGAAAGAAAGTTACTTGAGTAGTGTCATGCTTTGAAGGAGCTTTCATGGAGGAAAGAACAGCTCGAACACTAGTGTTCATCGCTTCTTTCTCTATCTCTTCAACTTTTGCTTTCTCTCCACTCTAACTGATATAAACCCAAGAGAGAGAGAGAGAGAGACCCATCAAGATAAAACATAAAAGAAAAACAAAACACAAGTAAAAAGAAAGAAAGATACTGTTAAATGTTTTTATGTATAATAAGGACAATTAAGAAAACTGGGGATTTTGAACTTTAGTGAGAAAGAATTAATGGGTGTTGATAGAAATTTAGTACCTTGATGATTTTATGAAGACAGAGCGGGAAAACTTGAAGAAAAAGCGAACCAGAAGCAGAAAAAGGCTGGCATGTGAGCTTATGTTTCCCAAAGATCCACAATTTTGTACATAATTTAATCCAATATTTTGTTTAGAATAATCTCGAACAGAGCAATGAAGAAAACTACAGAATCTCTCTCTCTCTCTCTCTCTCTCTCTCTCTCTCTCTCTCTTATTGGAGGTGGACAAGTAGCAGAAGACAACGTTTAATCGCCATTTCTGCTATCTAGTATATAGTATATAGTTCAAATTTATTAAAGAATGGTTTTTTTTTTTTTATGAGTCTTTGTTATCGGAGAAGATGGGAGATCTGAGTGACGAGCGCTCTCGTCGAGCTGGTGGAGAATTGTGAGAGATGAGGACAACTAGAAAGAGAACGACTTTTTCTCTCTATCTCTTTATTAATTGTGATTTGGTATATTTAGTGGCTTGGTGCTTTCATTTTCTCTCAAATCTTTTTTTTTTTCACTTCTTTTATTTACATAAATTATACTATAATTTAGTTGTCAAAAAAAAACATAAATATATATATAGAATTTTTTTATATAAAATAAATAGTTACAGTATATAACTTCTATTCATATATATTTTGAATAAATTATGAATTTTATATATATAATTTTTACTTCGAAATTTTAAATTAATCGAATTAAGATAAAGTGTGATCAGTTAATTGAAAAATCTTTGTAATAATATTTTTAAAATCTTATTTTATACTGCTTCAGAACTAGATAGTAAATAGGTTTTATATTTACAATGTCATTCGGAATGATTTTGTAAGATTTGAACGTGTTTTTAACACTAAAGATAGTGGAGTTTGGTGGTTTCCAGCCTTATTAGTTTTCGTAGTGAGTGATAATTTTTCGTGCAATGAAGTTGGAAAATCCAAAATTATTGGTCACTGCTATTTTTGTTGTTGTTGTCAATGGTCACTACTATTCATTCAGTCTACTCTAATAATAGCAGTTTAAAAGCTGTCATTAGACTATTCTATATAAATAATTTCTTTTTGCAATTCTAAATCCTAATAAATTTGTGTTATACTATGAAAGTACCTCTCATATCAAGTAAACCTTACGTCTTGTTGATTAGTTTAAGGGGCTTTTATATACATAACCAATTGATTAGAGAATTGATTAGCGATTATATTAAGCCAAACTAGTAGTAATTGTTGTGTAATCAATTATGCAGGCTGTACTTAAACTTAAACACAAGCGTTTTGCAGAGTTAACTTCTGATACCTTTTTGAGAAAGCAAAGATAACGTGCTTATTAATTATGATGCTTAAAAGAAAGAAAAAAATTATAAAAAGTAATAACTCCAAAGATGCTGACATCTCACTAGTCTAAGCTTTTTAACATTTGATTTTCATTTCTCCTTTTTTGCTGTCAAATCGGGTGATCCACACACACACGAAAAAAAAAGAAGTAATTAACTAAGCAAATGTGAAAATGAAGGTAAATATTGATATGCATTTTCAAATCTACTTCGAGTATCCCTAGATGAAAATGAAGGTAGATTAATAGTACATTTTAATGAGTTAATGTCTTATTTTGTGTCAATTAACGAGTTAGTGACATTATTAAGTTGTATAAACCATAGTATATATACACAAACTCATAAAACAAAATCATCAAAAGCCAGAAATAGATGGAACATGTTGGGTCCTGAGATCAAAAAGGAAACTCATTAAAAGTGGCAATATCATACCACGGAAAAAAGGAAATATGAAAAAAGTGATTACAATTATTATTTCAACAATGACAAATTTTTGATATATGGAGAGATTTGCATTTTCCGAGGCTAAGCGTGGTAATATTATACCATCAATAATTCGATTATTTAAATCAACTAACATGGCCTGATATAGTAGTATATTAATCAATAAAAATAAACGGTGGATTAGGTAATAAATAAATGAATGGGAATTAAATGATTCTTAGAGCATGTTTATCGCTGAACCCTGATGGGTTTCAGCCCATTTTTTATTATTTAAAAATTGAGATTGGGCTGAATTTGAGTTGATCCGTCTCACTGAAGTGAGTCTGCTGATACGGTTCATCTCACTAGGTGTCATATTCTGATTAGGGGAAAAAAAAATTATCAGGGGAAATTAAAAAAAAACATTTCAAGTTTCTCGAAGCATCTTCTTTCCTCTCCTCCTTTCTCTCTCTCTGGCGAAGAAGACGAGGACATCATAATCGAAGCGATTCCGATCGATTCGGTGGTTTAATCCGGTCGATTCCAGCAGAATCGAAGCTTTTTCGAAGAATCTGGTGGTTTAATCCGTGGCCGTATCGCCGCCAGGGAGAACAGTTGAGTCTCCGCCGGTTGGTAACCGAAAAAAAGTTGGGATTTGTCTCGTTAGCCCATGTAGAAAGGTAACTTCTTTCTTTCTTCTCCTTCTCTCATCGATTTATCTAATTTGGAACAATTTCTCGACTTGACTGGGATTTGAAATGGTCTTGGTTTTGCAGATTTTAACGGCTCTAATAAGATTCATGTTCCATATACATGGTAGATGCCTCAGGTGAATCTTCTATTAGCTCTCTTGTGATTACAAAAATGGTCCTTTATGACAGTCCTTGGGATTTGAAATGGTCTTGGTTTTGCAGATTTATAACAGTCCTTTGGTTTCTGAGAATTTCGATAGGTTTGGATTGCTTTGATTCATTTCTAGTGTATTGAGTGATAAAGTTCTTATCATTTTGCTAAAGAGGTGTTGAATTTCACAGTTTAGGGGATTGTTCATTTGAAAATATATAACTGTGGTATGAACCAAATGCAATGACAATAAAGGATCTCAAATCTGTAGTGATGATATGAAACTGAGAAGTAGGTTAGGCTGGAGAATCATCAGTTTATGATCCTGTATGGTATCAATTTTGTTCATAAGTTTATTAACTCTGCTTTTACAGGGTGGTGCTGAAAAGGGAGAAGATTTGAGAAACGCTGCCTTTAGAGAACTAAGAGACGAGTGGCTTTGCTACAATTAAGAAAGGCTTTGCTGCTTGTTAAGAGGTATCAGCTCTTCTTTCTTTATTTTTTTCACTTGTTATTCTTACTTGATCCGCTTACATTGGTGCTTGTGTTTCTGTGTTTACAGTATATTAGAAATAGCTACATAACTTGGTTGAATTCTCTGCATATAGATAGTAGTAATGTGTTTGTTTAACTCTAATAGCTAAATAGCAAAATAGCAATCAATTACTTGCTAGTCTCATAAACTGTTACAAAACTGAAGTTAACTAAACTAAGTAACAAAACTGAAGCAAATTAAACTTAGTTACAAAACATATGAAAACTTAGTGAAGAAAAGTAAATATAAGTTACAAATCATAAGTAAATATAAATATCTGTGGATTTGGTATTCATGGTGATGGAGACATATAAACAGTTACTAATACAAATCATAACTTCACATTTAGGGCAGTGACTTAAATTTGCTAACCTAACCCGAATTGAAGTCATATTATAGGTTGGTCATTTATTGTTCATGTTTGGTTAATAAGTACACACTTCATTAACAACACACAAATTAGATCTTCCTTTTGCTTTCTTTCTCTTAAACCGATTAGATCTCTTTTGCTTTCTTCCTCTTAAACTGATTAGGTTCTAGTAAACAAATGAATATGGATTTTACCATTCCATTGAGCTCCTCTCCAAATTTCACTGATCTATTGAACAGCCAACCCGAGAGCAACACTCCACAACCCTCTTACCAACCACAGTCACATTTACCCACCAAGAGATCAGCACCTATAAGATGGAGTATCCCTGAAGAGAAAGTGCTTGTTGGTGCTTGGTTGAACACATCGAAAGATGCTGTTGTTGGAAATGAGCAGAAGGGAGGGGCCTTTTGGCAGCGTGTAGCAGCACTGTATGCTGCTAGTCCTGTTGTGGCTAAGCTGCCAAAGAGAGAACCCAACACATGTAAGCAAAAATGGCAGAAACTCAATGAGAGTGTCAGTAAGTTTGCTGGCTGCTTTGAGTATGCCCAAAGGAATAAAAGGAGTGGCCAGAATGAAGATAATGTCATGGAGATGGCTTACCAACTCTACTTCCAGGATCATCAAATGAAGTTCACTCTGGAACATGCTTGGAGACTGCTCAGGCATGACCAGAAATGGTGTGAGTTGTTTGAAAAAACAACTCAGAGTTCCAAAAGAGCTAAGGTCGGTGATGGGATGAACTTTTTATCTAGCTCCAAGACTAATAACCCTGTGGAAGAAGAACCAGAACAGAGACCTTCAGGTGTCAAGGCGGCTAAGGCCAAAGAGAGAAAGAGAGAAAATGGGAAGAGTGAAGAAACAGATGGAAGAAGCTTGAAGGTGCTAGAGGAGGTTTGGGTGATTAAGAAAGAGGATTTGAATGTGAAGCAAAGACTATCAAGGGAGAAAATACTTGATAGTCTTCTTCTCAAAACTGAGCCATTGACAGAAGGAGAATTGATGCTTAAGGACAAGCTAATCACTCAAATGTGCAATGAAATAGGTTGTTATTATTCTGGTTTTGCTTGTGCTTAGTTGATTTGATTCTGGTTTTGCTTCTGTTTGGTTGATTTGATTCTGGTTTTGCTTCTGCTTTAGTTGATGTATATGATTCTGATTCTGTTTCTCGTGATGCAGGTGGAAGTGGATGATTGTGGCTGTAGTTTACAAGCATCAGAAGTTGTGGTCACAAGCCTCGGATCCGAAATCGTCATACTAATCAATTTCTCAGCCACAAGATCCGAAATCGTCATTATTTGCTACTTATCAAGAAGCCGTCAGAAAAGATGTCGAGCGTGCTTTTGGAGTCTTGCAAGCACGATTTGCAATTGTCAGAAACCCGTCCCTTACTTGGGATAAAGCTAAAATAGGGAAGATAATGAGAGCATCTATCATATTACACAATATGATAGTAGAAGACGAACGAGACCAATGCACTCAATATGATTTGGAAGAATTTGCAGAAAGAGGAGAAAGCGGGACTTCACAAGTTGACTATACGTATTCTACAGAAACATCTACAAATGTGAATAATATGATGGCCAATCGAGCTCAAATTCGTGACGAAAGGATGCATAAACAATTGAAAGCTGATTTGGTTGAGCATATTTGGCAAAAATTTGGCCCAACTTCATACTAAAATTTTAAGAAATTGTAATTTACGCATGTTATAAAATATAATAACTTTGTACTTTTTAAAATTTGTGTATATTTATGTATAATAGTTTGATTTTTCTTTTTTATTTAATTTTTGAAAACTAAATTATAATTTTTTTTTTTTTTTACTGATACCCATTGAGTTTCACCAATAAACATACTAATTTAACAAAAATCTGATTGAGTATCATTGATTAAACAATTAATTAATTTAATACTAAAAAAATACTTGTGATACTCATAGGGTTTTATTGATAAACATGCTCTTATAAGCATTAGCACGTGACAAAGCTTTAACAAATTTTGCTGTTTAACTGATCATGCTTTCCATTTTTCTCTAGTGGACCCATTTAAACCATGCTCTTTGTATTCATGACATTAGTACTTTGTTACGGAATACACCTTTCTTCCATGTCATTACATTCTAGTGATACAATTTATTTTTTCTTATATCAAAATAATTTCGAATATCTGATTTTTAATCAAATACCAGATGAAAACAAAACAAAAAATAATGGTGTGCATTTGTATTTTAACTGTATTTGTTTAGGTCTCATTATAATTTTTATGCATGGAAATTTCTTACTTGCAATGATAGAATTTTCAGTATCAAACCTAACAATTAGGTCACTATTAAAAATAACTAAAAAGAAACTTCGGACGTGTATCATTTTAATCCTAAAGAGTGATAATACAATGTAAGCCATGCGTCTCGCAATCCGAATCATTATTTCCTCTTCTTCATTTATTTATTGGGAAAATTAGAAATAAAGGAGCTCTAAAAAAAGGTTTGACCATATACACTTTTTTTTTTAGAATGTCACTTTGGACTAAAATATTCCTACTCTTTATTTTAAGCATTTTTTGAATGATTTTACCAAAAAAAACATGTAGATATACAAGATTATAGTTGATTTGAAAAAAAAAATTGATGATTTAGTTGAAAAAAAGTTGATTTTTTGATGGATAAAGTTTCCTCTAAAATTATTAGAATACGTTTTCTAGCGTTCTACGAATATCATAATTTATATTCTAAACTTTTGTACATGTTCTACGAAAATCAGAGTTTGTATTCTAAATTTTTGTACATGTTCTACGACTTTTAGATTAGATACATGTTCTAACAAATTCAGAAGACCGGAATACAATTTCCAAAAGTTCTTAGAACATGTATTCTACGCTTTTCTTCATGTTCTAATTTTAGTCAGAAAATCCATTCTACGATTTATAACATGTTCTAAAAACGTTAGAAAACGTATAATTATTTTAGAATCCGTTTTCTAATATAATATAGATTTCAATTTCTGAAAAGTTTTAGAATTCCTAAATATAGAAAGTGAATCTTTCAAAAAGGAAACTGAATATTTATTAAATATTACGTTTTATTGTTTAGATTACGATCTGAGGATGGTTAGAATACGTATTCTAATATTCTCAGATGAAAAAAAAAATTAAAAACGAAAATCTAGAGGGTGAAATCGTTTTTTAGCCCTAATCGTCAAAGTCTTCTTCTTTCACCTCTTCCTTTTAAGTCCACGTTGAAAGGTTAGACTAATTTGGTAGATTTGTCGTTGTTTTTCCCCGTTCTGTGCCACGTTTTGTCATTTGGTATATACTCATATGCTGATGATGTGTATACAACTGCCACTTGGAGATCATTATATGAGGAAACTATTAATCCAATAGGTGTTCCTGAAGATGAATGGCGCGTCCCAGAGGTTGTTGAATCTGCAAAAGTTTTACCACCTGAAACAAGAAGACAACCTGGTAGACGAAGAAAACGAAGATATAAATCAGCTGAAGACAAGATAAAATTAAAGCATCACAAGAGTCACAATTATCAAAAAAGCATAAGTGCGGTCGTTGTGGTAAAGAAGGCCATAATCGAGTAACATGTGATGTAGCAATATAAGGTTTGCGATCGTGATCTGACTACTAGTTTAAAACTTAAGTATAGATTCCCTACTTTTATATTTTGTTTTGATAATTGTTTTCTTTATCTTTTTCAGGATTATGTTGCAACTGCTCCCATTGAACGTTTCTAGTTACCACTATATGGATTTTGAACTTCTTTCTCATTTCATGATTATTTTCGCATTTTTTATTTCAGATTTGAAGTTTCTAGTACTCTATGTTTGAATTTTTGTTCTCATAATTGGAATCCCTACTACTCTTATGTTCGTGGTTTTACTTTGAGTTTCGGATTGACTTATCACTAAATTAAGTATATACAGCATAAGTTCCAAGAACAATTTAACATAATTTAAAAAGAAACGTAAGAACCATAATCTCAACCTACCAAGTAGGAATTTTCATTTAGTTTATTGTTTATCGATGAGGGAAGTTGATATGTTGTGTTTTTATCGGTTTTGAGTCTTTGTTTTCTTTCCTACATCATATGTTTTATAGAGTCAAAGTGTGTTTTTAGAGTATTTTAGTCTTTTATCGAGTCTTTACAGGTTTTAGATTGCTTTGGAGGAAAACGAGCTGTTTTGGGTTATAAACACACTTTTGGAGATGCAGTTTCGTTTAGAAGTGTCATACGTTTGGTCTCATATGGAATACTTCACACCGTTAGATCTTTCTGAATTTTTGACACAAGCTGGATGAAGATGTTAGCTTGATTTTCCAAGTGGTTTGAAGGAAATCTAACGGTGAATTCAAGAGTTATACCCAAATTAGTGAAGACTGATCAATCTGGCGAAAGAATGAGGGTATCTGAATTATGTAAATAAAATAGGAAATAATTTTTTTAAAATTTTTTTAATTATATTTTCGAAAATATGAGGGTAAATTTGGGTTTTGATTTTTAAAAAACCTATTTCACCAAACTTTTTATATAAAAATATATATGGACATTTATCCATTAAAACATCATTTATTTCTAATTTTCCCTTTATTTATTTATGTATTTTTTTTCTTTTTTAAAAGATTTTGTATTTGCCTTTACCAAAGATGAAACACATATTTTCATGGCGCTTCATTCTAAATTTCTAATCTATTAAAATTTGATTTGATTTTTGTTATGTCGTATTTGATAAGTTTTTGAAAATTTTGTAAGCAAAACTATTAATTTTTAAATAAGTCGGACTATGATGAATTAGAAATTTCATGGTAAACAAATAATATATATCACTTAGCTCTCTATAAGTTAAGAATATAATATTATTATGGAAAACTTAGAAATACATTTATTGTATTTTCAAATTTATAAGTATAAAGTCTAGGATATATAGCATCAATCATAAATTTGAACATTCCATCTGAAATAGAGTACATAAAGAAGTGCAAAATTAATACTTATATAGCAGAATCACCATAATGGGATCTCTCAATTTCTACAAACAGAAACGAAGATAGTGCATTAACCTATTACAATAAATATGGTCCAAAGCTGAAGTTAAGTAATTTCCCTTTTGCTTTTCTTTTTCGTTTTTTACTTTCATCTACTTTTGGGCTGGACCCAGACACTGTGGTCCCGTATAAAGTTGGCCCGTATTGGGCCTGGACTTAACCCAGCGATCAAAGAGGTAAACACGAATTATATCATTTATATTCGATTTTCTTTTTAAAATAGCAATTATGGCATTCATTAATTAATAAAACGATATATAGCGACATAACTTTGTTTGTATTATTATTTTTTTTAAAAAATAATAATTCAAAAATTATGTTACCATTACACCACAAAAGGTCGACGTCATTTATTTCCCAATATGTACAGATAAATCAGAAAATTTTGGGGATCTTTACATACATTTTACACAAATTTTCTTTTGTCAATTTCCTTCTACGATGGACCATTCTCAGCTTCAAGTGCATTTCTATTAATTCATAAAAATCCAAAAAACAAATAGATGTGTTTTTCCATAATCTTTCTTACGTGAAAAATATTATTCTAAATTATTATTATTTTTTTTTTTAAAAGAATGTAAAATTTATTCAATCAAAAAACCGGTGTTACAACAAGTGTTTCAGTTTCAAGTTTATAGAAGACTCTGATTTAAGGTACAATTTAATTTTGAGTAGAAAACCAAAACATGAGGAGGTCATCATATTTTTGGTTTCCCGAGCAGCGAAGAAGTGTTATCTTGTTTCGAATTGTTTTCCCTATCATTTGGCCAAGGCGAGGAGCTGGGATGTGAGGTTCGCCATGTCTGCGATTATTCCGTTCTCTCCAAATGGAGTGGACAGCGACCTGAAGAGAGTACCGTAGGAGCAGCAGAGTTCGGTTGTCGAGAGTTGAACTTGAAACAAGTGACTTGATTTGGTTCCATTGGGACGTGTAAAGATGTCCTAGGAGACCCTTTGTTGTTTGTTCCCAAATCTGATGCGAGTAGCTGCAGCTGAAGAAAATGTGGTTTCTAGTCTCCACCGGTTCTTGACAAAAGACACAAGCTGAGTTAGCACCTTGATTCCATTTCAACATTCGATCTCCCGTAGAGAGTCGATTATGCATTCCCAGCCAAGTTATGAACGCAAACTTCGGTGTGGCTTGCGGGAACCACACGCTCTTTGCCCATTCACAAACCTGGCTCGCCGTTCGAATGAGCTTCCATGT